CCCCCCCCTTCGGGTGCAAGGGTTCCCTGATCTATCCTCTGATTGTATTAATTTGGGTCACACGCTCAGAAAGGACTTTTAATCCGTGGATTAATGTAGAATAAGCTGATCAATGTGTAGGGGGGGGGGGGGGGGGGGGACAAGGGATTAGGGATAATTAGTTTAATTAGTTCACATTCAGATAGAACAGTTCTATATTCGGGTAATTAAATTTAACAATTAATCAGAAATAAAGAATGAAAATGATGGAGAAAATTGCTGCTAGTTAAAGTTTATCGAGACAACTCATTCGGGAAAATGTTAAGTTCCTAAAACTAATTGATTTAAGTCATCCTTCCAAAAATATCATTTTCAAATAACCTCTGATTTTTTCCTCACTCTCATGTGTTTTACATTGTAATTTCTTGTAGATTGTCAGATTGCTCGAACTGTTCGAATATTAAAAGGAACATTTCCTTTTTTATTACATGATACCCTAAAAGAGCCTTTGATATCCTGACTCAGTGTCCGAATTTAATGAATTTGAGCCGCGGCTTAAATCTGCCAAAAACCAGTTTCAATTTAGCGCCGGCTTAAATATAGAAAAATTTTGATACAATTTTAAGTGGAACCAACCATATTTGAGCCGAGGTTTAAATTTAAGCCGCGGCTCAAATTATTTAAATTCGGCCTCAGGACTCTCAGTCTCAGGAACATCTTTGACCGATTAAAAATAAAACTTTTAAAAATATATAAAATCACTTAAAGTGATCTTACATTTAAAAAGTGTCAATTCCAGTTTTCAATTGTAACTTATAGACTTTTTTCAGATCATGGATTTTCTGTATGCACAATGCCGGAAATTGTCAGAATTCAACACTTTTAAAAGAGAAAAACGAAAAAATCTTAATTTTACTCAGATAGAGGTTGAAAATGTACCGTTGTGCATAGGACATTCATTTTTTAAATACTGGTTCACTTGATATTTCTTCTACAGGCTCTTTAAACCTGAATAAATACCTGAACTCTAGCTTCTGTAAGATCTAGCCGCAGGGCGAGCTCCTCCCTGGTGAACACGTCCGGGTACTGGGTCTTCTCGAAGCTCCTCTCCAGCTGGTGGAGTTGGAACGTCGTGAACGTCGTCCGAGATCTTCGAATTTTTCGTGGTTTGTCGCCGTCCTCGAGCTCGCGCTCCTCGTTACTCAAGGAATCGTCGCCGAACCGAGGATCCTCTTCTTCGAAGGATTCTTCGGAGTAATTATTGATTTCAGCTGAAAAACATCTTTAATTATTTAAAATCAAAACTAAGCATCGTGAAGAAGGCTATCGTAACATTTTTAAATTGATAATGCTTGCCGTTCACAAAACTGCTGAAATTAAGAATGTGAAAATTAAAATTTTTAAGTTTAAAAAGAAGCAAAGCGAATTAATGGTGTGAAAAAACTTTTAAATATTTAATATCAAACATGTAATTGTCAACTATTACTTTTATTATAAATATTACAATATCATATAATTTTGATATTTTGTTAATTTTAACATATTTCTAATAAAGTTGATTAAAAAAGAACATTTATTATAAAATCTCCATGATGGGCTAAATTTTTGTTTACCTTCTTTCTGCCGAAATATGAATACGATAAATGAAAACGAAAAGATTTACTTTCAACATTTTTTTACAAATTGAAGTATTGTGCTATGAAAATTTAGAACTTTTCTTTTTTATACTTACTGTAGTTCATGGAATAAACTGTTCAAGTTTAATTAAATAAACGTACTTGATTAATTTCTAAGATTCTCAAAAATGTTTTACTTTTTATATCTGGTTTCGAATCCTTTCGTGCCCGTCCAAGTATCTGCTCTATACTGTACATATTAGATCTCACTGAAGTGAGCTTTTCCATTTTATTGTTCACACAACCTTACTCCAGGAGAGTTTTTAACTGAGTGAGAAATCTTCCGAAAATCTGGGAAATCTCTAGGAGATTACGGTTAATTTGGACCAATGGGAACAGAGCGGGGATTTGATCCAATGAGAGTTGAGTTTAGAGGTGGGCTGAAGGGTGGGGGGGTCTCATGGAACGGAATAGGAAAATTAAAGTGGAGGATTATCAGTGATTTGGTTTAGATCTAGTGAAAGGGCAGTGATTAATGAATTGATTAATCCCTAATCTATTATTCGTCTTGATTATATATCATCGATGAAATCAGAGAAATACGATTTCAATTAAAAGTAAACAAAGCTGCTGAAATAAAAGTAACAAGATGCAGGATTAAAGAAGTTTAACAACAGCAGATAAACAAAAAAGAGACGTAATAAGCAAAAGATACAAAAGAATAGAAGATCGCAGAGTGGCGAAGGAATTAATGGCTAGAATAAACTAAAAGAAAAGTTTTAAGTAGATATTAATAGGAAAAAGGATAGGAGTTCTTTGTTTTGTCTTGCGGGTAAAATGTTCATGTTTTTTCATGTATGAAATTTCTCTGTTATCAAAACTTTCTAAAGGTTTAGTTGGTTCTTATCATTAATGGCGCTTTTAAAGGAAATGTCTTTTCTATTAAATTTCATGGTAAGAACTTGGGACGAATGTTTTGGGGAATTTAACATTAACAATAATAGTTAAATCTATTTTAATGGGACAGCTAGAGACAAGGTTACAGTTAGTTAAGAAAACTAACAAGGATTTAAATTCTCCTGTTAAATTTCAGAACTCAGAACTGTTTTTTTTTTGACAGGATGAAGTAAGCGTGTTGACCGGAATGAAGGAGCGTGGATCAGGAATTTAAGAAGATTTAATTCAAACCAAACTAGAGACACGGTCTTATTTCTATCTAAAACCCAATTAGGACTTTTCCAACCAACATTTTTTCTTGCATGACCCATTTTTCTATGTTCTAAACGGCTGAACGGATCAAGTCCAGTTTTTTTGATAACTAATCATCTAAAAATTTGCCTTAAATTTCTATAACTTTTTTGGGAAATCCACCAATGAAAACATGACAATCTGGGAAATCTTTTATTGCTATAATTTCAAATGTAAAAAAGATCAGGAACAAAAATATACCATAAAGTTGCCATAGACTTAATTTTGAGGTATTAAATACCTCATATCGGACGAATAGCTAGAACGCAGATGCATGCCTGGAGTTTCAACCAAACAAAAACTAAATTCTCTGCTAATTATAATTTATTATTTTGTTTAGATAAATCTATTTGTATCTGTGTTAAATGGTGGAATTGGATTATCTAATTTTAGTGTTTTAAACTTGCAATCTTGTAATCTAAGTCGGGGGTGTGAGGG